TTATTTGTATTATAAAAAAAAAAAAAAAAAAAAATCTCAAAATTCTTTACATATTATTTTTCATTAAATTTTTCCAATTAAAAATAGAGAATTAAACCAAAGTTAATTTAAAATCTTACTTTAATCGTTTGCTAAAAGTTACTAAAATTAATATTTATTATAATTTAAAAAAGAAAAGAACGAAAAATTCATATGAAATCCGTTGATCAATTCCAAACAATTTTTTAGAGAAGGCTTTATTTAGGGAGAAATTTCCATAGTAACAGCTATATGTTTTGATTATTATTTGTTTTACCCTGGAGAATCAATGTCCTTTGGATTTCATTTTTGAAAAAGGTTACTTGTAAAGCTTTTCAATGCAATCAATCATTTGTGACATACAAAAAAAAAAAAAAAAAAACTGTAAATAAATTTATTTTCAACTAATTGAGAGAAAGGAAGAAATTCTAAATTTTCATTTTTTTTCCTCCAAATATTCGCTTTTTTTAAATATTAAATTCTTCGTAGGAATTTAAAAAAAAGACAGCGTATGATAACAAAGTGATAACAGGGAAAAATTTCATTTATTTCAACGATTAAAAATCATTCCAAGTCTTAAGTTAAAATATATCTGCTCTTAACTCATGATATGATTGATATGATTCGTGATATAATTCATTGTGATATGGTTGTGATTCACTTGATTATTTGACAAGCAAAAAAAAAGCCTTTTAAGAATGGATGTATGCTTGGATTGCAATTTTGAATCTTGTAAGGGATCATTTCAGTCTTCCTGAATATGAGCCAAAAAATCTTTCAAAGTTCCAGTCATGCGTTATGATTAATAACAATACCATTTAAAAAAAAATAGAAAATAAAAAAATTGCACAAATTTCATGATTATTTTTTAAAAGTCGAAAAACTTAAAAACTTAGTTGCTTCAATAAATTTAAAAAAAGGCAAATGTTTTACTGTTAGAAATGGTTAAGATCAAAGAATAGGATTGGGAAGAAACTGATGTTAGCAAATGACACAGGTAGATGATATAAAGTTGACAAAAATGAAAGAACTGTTTTGCATAACTAATTTCAGAATTATTTGTATAAAAA